TTCTAGAGGATCAATTGCATTTCACAATCGGCGGATGAAAATCTAGATTTGTTTTTATCAAAACACGAAGTTTTGCGTGGAATCGATCCCTACGCAAAGGAAAGAAATTGTGTCTGTGTCCGCCCTATTTCAATGTGTCTATTTCACATTGGAAGCTGAATCCGATTCCTTTCTTTCCATTACTCGCAATTTTGTTCGGCAGCTGCGATGCAGATTATTATCCCCATTTCCCATTAATGCCATCGTTCTGATGCATTGGATCGAACGACTTATTATGGTGTATCGAATCATAGTGCGGCCGCAATAGAAAACTTCCCCTGCGATTCGTTCCCTTCTCTATGTTGAGATAGTTGCCGCCAATCGCTGGGTGAGATACTCGTGAGCGTTGATGGGTTCGTACTTTGCCGGTTCGTCTGGAAACAAGTTCTTGATCTCGACGTCCTTGTTCGCGTTGCAGAAAAAGGCAATCGAATACCGCTCCGGGACGATAGCACACGGCGAAACTTCAGCGGTTGCCGTCGCCGCATCGGGCGACTCGACCTTGTGGAGCGTGGCCTTGAGGCGATCGTTGGACCACCGCATGAGCATGTCCCCAACGTTGACGACGATCGAGTCCTCCACCGGCCGGACGCTTGTCCAGGTTCCGTCGGCCCGCCGCACCTTGAGGCCGCCCACCGAGTCCTGTGCGAGCAGCGTCAGCGTGCCGAAATCCGTGTGGGCGTTTCCGCGGAGCACCGTGTCACCGCCGGTGCCCTGGTCGCGAACCGTGCTTGGGTAGTGCAGGAGCCGCAGGTTTTGGGGTTTGGCGTTGCACTGCTCCACTAGGCCGCGTCCCCCATCCGGCAAGCCGAGGGCCTCCCCGATGTAGTGCATCAAGCGCAGGTTCAAGTTATCCATTTCCTCAAAGTAGGTCTCGAGAGCACCGCGAAAGACGTCCGGGGACAATTCGGTGGGCCACTCGTTGGCGTACACCCCGTCCTTCTCTGAAGGGATAGCAGAGGGGTCGTCGTAGCCAATGTCCATGGTTTCTTTTTGGTCCGGTGTGATGGCAATTGTTTCTGTTTCGCCTCGATCCGCCGGCAGGAAGCGCCCCTCCCCGTCCTTGTCGTGTTTCTCGGAACCGTAGGGAATGTATCCGCGGTTCGCTGCGGGAGACTTGTATTTGTACCTTAGCTTTGTGGCGAGAGGCAGCTCAAAAAAACTCTTTGAGGCAAGAAAGGCCTTTCGAAAGATCTCGGAGGGAACGCCATGGTGGATCAGGGTGCAGAAGCCGATCGTGGAAAAGGCATCGAGGAGCTCCGATGCGATCTTTGTCTCGTCTCGGTCCGGCGATAAATCGATGACGGGGATGCCGCACCCATTGTCGTCGGTGCGACTTCCACTTGAAGAATCTGTTGGTGTATCGCTGCTCATTGGAGAAACAACCTTGGTATGTGTTGCTGGTTGATAATTTGATGAACTTCAAACGCAATGCGAAGTTTCAAGCTTCTTTCATCGAGACCTGACCAAAGAACATGAAGATATTGATTGCACGTACAGTAAAGAAGTATGGTCCCTACCGTACGTACGGTACGAACAGTTCAGTAGTACAGTCCGGGTAGTACTCGTATCAGTTTTCGAGTGAAAGGAGTCCGTACCAGCCGGTGCCGTTCCTACAMTACCAGCCGGTACGGTACTACGGTAGAATAGGATTTTTGGAAGCGGAGTGGGTCTTTTTGTGAAAGAACGAAGAACCGCATGTTCTCTGGTTCGTACGTATTGTACATAACTTTCCGAACTCGGATACATCAGATCCTGGTTCGAAGTTTCCAACAGAAAAATACAGAAAAATAAAGACAGTGACATCACACGTCATCCATATCGGATATCGGCAGATCGATATAAACATATGTATCCATGTGTATAAACATATGAATCMATGAATCCTCCTTTCCCTCGAAATCCAACGATGGGACAGGCTCTGAGCGTGCAACGAGAGCGTGCAGACAGCATGGCAGGGCCATTTACATAATCACGGTTACAGTATAATTCTACGTAGCATCGATTGTAGAAGTTGGTTCGTTTCCGGTCGGAGTGACCAAGACAAAATCTTGGTCGGAGAAAAATTCCTTGTTTCTGTTGATTGCTCTGTGATTGGCCAGACGCATTCGAAGGATTAGGTTTGGTTTGGAAAATCTCGACGATTCGTTTCGGGTTTTGACACCCAGCAGTTGGCAACTGTGGTTTGGTGACGTAATCCGTTGTCTCCGAGCCAGTCCCCTGGGAGAAGAGCAATGATTCGTTGAGGAAAAAAGAACAGTATGGTTTCTTTCTACAGTACGGCAGGTAGTCGTACCCTACCGGTACCGTACTACTGTATTGCCGTTCGGTAGCTTCGACRTTCTTTCCTCTTCCGCAACATCTCCCAAAAAGGTATCTTTCGTCTTTGGTCACAATATTCAAATCGTTCTGTTTCAAAATTACTTTTTTTCCACTTATACGACACTAATCCAAACCAACAATGACTCCTACACGCTCCGCCGCTGCCTGCCTCGTCCTCCTCCTCGCGGGAACGACCACCAACGCCTTCAGCCCCGTTGCCAAGACGACCCCCGTGGCCTCTGCCACCAGCACCACCTCCCTTCGATTCGGATTCCTGAAGGAGCTCGGACTCGAAAAGCCGAGCTGGTTGCCCGACTTTGGAGGCAAGAAGGGGGAGGAAGTCCCGGCGCCCGCAGCCGTGGAGGCCGAAGACGCCGATGCCCCCGCCGACGAGGCCGCCGACACCCCGGAGGAATAAGCGATGGATGCAATGCATGCCGGTGTATACCGATGCATGCGCGCAGGATACCTGTGTTAGGACCCGGATCCTTCCACGGAGGGAACGATGGATGGATTGCTTGCTAGATTTGCACGAAACGAACGGATGGCCGTCTTGCGAGTTCCCTGAATTTTGCTGGCACCAGACAAACCAAACACACACCATCACGCAAACTACACAAACATACAACTCTGCCACTACATTTCGTACGGAACGAGTCCTCCACGTAGACAATTTCATTTGACAAATACCATTACTAGGCGAACATTTCCGTACCATGCAATAACGCCAGACGCAATAGAYCCCTCGTTTTCTTGTTCTGCGTTGTTTTCTTTTTTGCTCACTAGACCCTCTTTCGTGAGCGCTTGTGAAGGCAGCGACCAACCCGCCAGCCAATATGCTGGTCGATCGTTTTCTGCGTCACATCGTGTTACACAACGGCCCACAGGAGAAGACGAAATTTTTCAGGCCGAACATCCAGTGGCAGCTACCGTCAGACGGAGGGATTCTCGTTGTCGCTGTTCTTGCTACGATGATTCCGGAACTATGCCAAGGCCATGAGTTTGCACAGGAAGACTGCTCTAAAATRTAGGATAACCCGTCACCGATCTTAAAACATCAGATTGCAAACCAATGGCTTTATGTGACCCGTCGACGCCACAACCTTTACCGCTGAAATATGGCATTGCGCGAACATAGCGTTCATCATGGTGGCTGACTCCAATCCATCATGTACAGAAGTACGGTAGATATGACTGCTACTTCCAACAACACATGGTGCTTAGGAAAATGAAAACGAAACCTTGACATCTGTATTGCTTCTCTGCAGAAGGACAACAAACAGTGTGAGTGCGGGCGATACGACGTGACTCGACTTCTCTTCACTACAATTTATTGATTACTGGTGGATAAAGCAGAGTACACTGTTTAATGGAAGCGCACACGGGCAAAAAAATGGTTTATTATGAAGTCCAATTGGTTTAATTGTTTTTAATTTGTTGCGTTCTTTACACGCGGTCTTCCATCTTACAAATAAAGTACAGCACAATTTGATGATTTGCTTTGTGTTTTCAGCGAATTCTTACATATAAAAAATACTTTCACAGTACGCAACGTATCCGTCATCGAGTTGGGTCGTTTCCAAATCATTGATTTAGCGGTGGGAAAAAAGTGTTTCCCTTGCCTCCCAAAATGGAGAATCAATCAGAGAGAACAACGGCACGTTAAAACTGGATGTAGCATATGAATTAAGTTTGGTTAGGTCAGGTTGGAGAATTTGATGTGAAAGTACTCAGGATCGTAGACTCTTGAGTCGTTGCTTCAGTCGGCGCGGCCGACGGACTAGCAGACGGTGCGGCCGACGGACTATCGCTCGGCACACTCGTTGGCCTAGACGACGGACTACCGCTCGGCGAACCCGTCGGCGTGGACGATGGAACATCCGTCGGCGTGGACGATGGAACATCCGTCGGCGTTGCGGACGGGTAAGCCGTCGGCGTTAGCGTTGGACTTACCGATGGACTTCTGGTAGGGTTCCTGGTGGGGTTTCTCGTAGGCTTCCTGGTTGGGTTTGGGGTCGGTCGCGGGCTTCTAAGCAATCCACACCCTTGCAACGTTCCGTCGGGACTTGCGATCATCACATTGCTGATGACGTGAATGATACCGTTGGATGCCAAAATATCACGTTGGGTGAAGTACGGAATATTTCCACGTCCATTGCAAGTTCCTAMMTGTGCAGTTCGGCGGTTGCCTTCGCATCTTGTTCTGCTTGTGCCAAGTCGGAGCATTCGAACGTATCGGTTGGGCCCATTGCAAAACAGATCTTGGGTTCTGTACACATTAGGCGCAACGTGATAGAAAAGAAGAGCCCTTAGAACCCTAGTCCTGTTGTCATCATTATCTGGATTATTATTGGGTCCCATCATGTTCATCATGTTCATCATGTTCATGTTCATGTCCATGTTCATGTCCATGTTCATGTCCATGTTCATGTYCATGTTCATGTYCATGTTCATGTYCATGTTCATGTTCATGTTCATRTTCATGTTCATGTTCATRTTCATGTTTTGCAACCTCCTACTTGAGGACAGCTTCGCGGAACTACTAGTGCTACTAGAAGCTTTTGAAGACTTCTGAGATTCAAGTTTTCTTCTCTGGATTGGATTGTTGGGGTCGACAATTATAAAACCGATGTCGTCAGAACCAATAATATTGTTCACGAGGTTATCGAAATCGTCCGCGAAGTCGAGAAATCGCTGGACGCCCTGGTTGTTGGGAGCAAAAACTGTATAACGCCCATTGCAATCGTCAAGTGTATTGTATAGACCTGTGTCTCTCAGGAGCGTACAAAGCCGGCCCAAAATATTGTTGTTTCGTGGTGCACAAACAATTTCGGCTAATTTTTGCCCGCAAGCAGTTGTTGTGAGCAGTCATGGAGGAAAGCAAAAAGAAAAAAAAATTCCGAGTTGTACATATTACTTACCAATGGTTTCGCCACAGCCAGAGTTACCAAGCGAAGAAGAAAATGAAGAAGAAAACGAGGAACCGTAAGATGGCTCCTCTGATGGTTCCTCACTATTAGTAGGGTTTTCGGATGGTTCTTCACTGTTTGTAGGTTCGTCGGATGGTTCTCTACTTGGGAAATTTGTTGGTCTAGGTGTAGGGGGCGCTGTTGGTCTCCTTGTTGGATTGTTGGTAGGCCTGGGAGTCGGATCAACGGTTGGAAATGGAGTTGGTCGCCTTGTTGGCCTTGCTGTTGGAAAAGCTGTTGGTCTTGGTGTAGGTGGCTCAGTTGGTGGTGACGTTGGCTCCATTGTAGGCATCTTCGTAGGACGAGGCGTAGGGTGAAGTGTTGGTCTGGGCGTTGGTTCTGGTGTAGGATTTGGCGTTGGCAACCTGGTTGGTCCGGGAACTGGCGGTGGTGTAGGGAATTTCGTGGGCATCATCGTCGGTTTGTGCGTAGGATGAGGAGTCGGGCGAGGAGATGGAAACGGTGAAGGCATAGGAGATGGTTTATGCGTCGGGAGTGGCGTCGGCCGCGGAGTTGGGTACGGAGAAGGTTTGTGGGTAGGTCTTTCCGTTGGTKCGCCAGTTGTGAAGAAAGTAAACGCATTGTTGTAATAGTATTGCAAATCTCTATCCTTCGATTCAAAGCTGTCACCAGCAGTTTCGTCGGAAACCTTATCTAGCCCTTCAGAAATGTGATTTGTGGACTCTGCAGTTGCTAAGATGCCAGTCAGAGACAGCAATCGGAAGACGTTTAGTGCCCTCATGGTGGGTGACGAATTATTCTACTGAATCTCTGTGTGCCGGTACAATGAACTATTATAACTGCCGCAATCTATCTCAAAAGAATATTTCTTTGTGCATTGGTCGAGGGAAATGACATAACACTCGAAGATATTATATTCGGCTCGCAGTGATATGCTAGATGATCTGCAAAATTCAGCGATTGAGACGAAACTTCGTGAGCCCCTTCATTATCGCCATGCGTTGAACCGAGATTTAGCGATGAGGGAATTCATGCGCCAAAATTCTTCCACGTACGGCACATAAACAGTAAGTACCAAGTACAGTTCCAACCTTTTGTATTTAATCAATGAATGCTATGCTGGCGTAGAAAGGCGCGCCTGGCGAACTGGACTGCTCCCAAAAATCAGTCTGTTGAATTTTTTTTCTCATTTTCGAYGTGTAGCAAAGAACTACTACTATTAAGTACGGTAGGGGTACGTACGTGCTGTACGAACGAGTACGAACAACGAATAACGTATTGTACGTAGTGTAGAGCAGGGGTCATAATAGAGGGGAGCGCATCGAATTTTTTTGCGCATCATGAAGCACGAAAAAAAAGTGAAACTCATATTCCACGTGTGGTCCAAATTTCCAAAAAGTCACCGAAGGAATTTTTTTTTTCTCATTTTTACTGCATAATACTAGTAGTAAAACTATCCAACCTTTAAGCAGTTACAGCTTTATTAAAAATACTACTATTTTAATTTTTGAGTAGCCTGTCTAGTCCAGTTTTTTATGCTGATTCTGAATATACCATTTTCTTAAATATCAATTGCAGGGATCTTCTTCTATTGTTTCCACTGGCACAACAGTTTGAGTGTTGACACTGGAAGTGACTTGGCATCTTCCTCCTTGTACACATCTTTGTTCCCCTTTGATACCAATTCCTCAATCACTTTGGTCGCCTTTGCATTCAACACACTAACTGCTTGGGACTTGTTCTTCTTTGCTGCTTCTAGCTCCTTAACAAGCTGTTGTTGCCTCTTTCTTTCTTCAGCAATGAAGAAGTAGTCATCACTTTTTAGTGTGTCGCCTCTAACGGATCCAATGGCTGCTGTGTTGTTGTTGTTGCTGTTGTTGTTGTTGTTGTTG